GTTTTCGGTATTTTTATGTTTTACTATTTTTTGTATTTGTGCTATGTTTTATATGTTTTTTTTGTATGTGTACTGTGTTTTTGTGTTCTTGCCAATTTTTCTGTATTCTTTTTCAATCACTGACAAATACATGTAGGAGCATTTAAAGTGTCAGTTTTAGAAACTTTGTGTATTACTGGGTACATCACAGGTATAGCACTGCATCATCTCGTGTCTCATGTTAAGTTAAATCAAAAGTAACTATAAATGTCAGGTAAATGTAGTACAGTAGAAGCTTAAAGTGGCATAAAATGAAAACACTCACGTAAAGTATTTCATAAACTGTACTTAAGTACAGTACTTGAGTAAATGTACTTAGTTACATTCCACAAATGCATTAGATTATTGACAATGTTTTAACAACAGCAGTCCAGTACTTGAGGTGCATCACATGATAATAATACTCACTGTTTATCTACATATATTTAAGCCTCGTATGTTTTGCTGCTTGTCGACGTCGCGCAGGTTGTGATTTAAGGTGGAGCTGCGAGTGTTGAGTGAACGTAACCTCGGTGACACGGTGTCTACATATCATTTCATAGACCATCACTGGGACTCCATAAAGCTGTCATAAAACCTCCACGCCTCCCTCCCTCACAGTGTGTATGTGTGTGTGTGTGTGTGTGTGTGTGTGTGTGTGTGAGGCGGATGCAGGGACACGTGTACATCAAGGAACAGAAAGTTATTTTTCTGTTCAAGTTTTAAACAAATTGAACCAAAATCGTGATGCAAAGTGTAACAAAAAAAAAAAAAAAAACAGTGTGAGATCAAACTGTATCTGGTTTCCTTCTGTCACAGTGCTGCTCGTTAATGGAGTCAACAAACTGCAGCTACGTTTTCTACTGTGTTTCACATGGTTTTTGTACTTCTACTATGTGTTTCGTGTTTTACTGTATTTGTACAATGGCTTTTTCTTTGGCATTCCCGCAGTGTTTTAAATGATCTTTTGGTCCTGGACTTTGTTTTACATTCATTTTGTCTTTGTACTCTGTTCTACTTTTTTATTTTTGCAATTGTTTCTCCTTTTCACATGATTTGTTTGGTGTTTGGACTGTATTTTATATAATTTTTGTATTGCTTTATGTGGGGTTTATTTGTATTTGTACAATGTTTTCATGGTTTTTTGTATTTGTAAAATGTTTTAGATTGTTATGTTTGTATTGGGCCTGTGTGCTTTTTATCATGTTTTTTATTTATAGTATGTTTTACATGTGGTTGTTTTGGTAGTTGTACGTTGTTTTACATGACTTTTTGGTATCTGTACTACGTTTTACAATTTTTACAGTAGTTGTACTGTGTTTTATGTTTAAGTATTTGTACTATCATGTTTTTTTGGCATTTGTACTATGTTTTACAAAGTTTTTTGTATTTGTATTGTGTTTGTTTGCTTTTTAATGGTAATTGTACTGTACATTACCTGCTTTTATATGGATTTTTTGAATTTGTACGGTGTTCACTACATTTTAAATGTTTTTTAATATTTGCATTGCGTTGTTTTTGGACTTCATGTGTTTTTTGGTTTTGATACTGTGTTTTACGTTTTGTTGTATTTGTACTGTATTTCACGTTTGTTTATTTTTGGATTCTTTGGTATTTGTACTATGTTTTATGTGTTTTTTGTATTTGTACTGTTCCTTTTTCGTTCTGTGTTTTACATGTTTTTAAATTAAAACTGTTATATATGTTGTTTTTTGTATTCATATTGTGTCTTACATGTTTTCTGTCTTGCATTTGTACAGTTTTGTAAAGGTTCTTTTGGTATTTGTACGGTTTCCATGGTTTTATTATAGTTGCACTGTGTTCAATACAATTTTATTGTATTTGTACTGTGTTTTACATATTTTTTTCTTAGTATTTGTACTGTATCTTACCACAATGTAAAGTACAAGGAACGTTAATAAAGTAGGAAATGAATATATATTTTTTGACTTTATAGAGTAAGTCTGTAATAAAATTAAGGATTTCTTTAGTTGTTAGACGCCAGTAGACAGAATATATTTCAGGTTTTAACTGTGCCTTGTTTTGTACCTGCAGTATTTATTTTATGTATTACAATGATCACTAAGATCAGAGTCTAATCCAGCAGTACGTGTGTACACTGTGTACATAAACTACATGTCTGTATTCATGCAGTGCTGCCAGTCCATGCAGTATTCTCCTGTTGTCGGCTGATTGTTCTTCGCTGACATTCACTCACACATAGGTGTAAAGAGTTGGCTGCAGTCACACAGAGTAAAGAGAAACATGTAAAACGCAGTACAAGTACACACACATATACACACACAGATACACATAGTGAGCGATGTGTGAGTATTGACGTGCCATTAGCCCTCCTCCGTCAGACCACTAATGCTTTTATTGTTGCTCATGTTCCTATTTATTTATGAATCTGAAGCATGTTTCCCCTGAAGAGATTAGAGAAGGAGGTCAATATTATCTCAATTAACCCGCCACGCTCCACCGCCGCTCCATCTCCCCCCCCCACCCTCCCCCCTGTGCCCTGTCGATAGTATTTATCAGTCCATTCCTTAAGTGGCTCGCTGTTTGTCGTTTCACCTCCATAAATCCCTCCTTCCATCATTTCTCTCCTTCTCTACCTTCTTTTCCTTTGTGTTGCTCCTTTTCCTTTTTCTTTCTTTACCTCCTCCAACTTCCTGTTGATGTGTTTTTGTCCATTTTAATATTTCTATGACCATTTTTTATTTCAGGCGTCGATTAAAAACCTGAGTGGCACAACCAGAGATTCTAAACATTCAAATCAGGGAAGCTGAGAAGCTAACGTGACATGGTAGCGCTGGGTTCCTCAGGTCTTCTAGTTTCATAGGACACAAGTATGATCACTGTCGCTTTAAAATTCAGCCACCTACAGCCTCTGAAAGACGGGGATGATGTCTGGGATTGACACCGGCCTGGCGGGTTACATTTACAACAAGACAACAACACTAACGCATGTTTAACAAAGTCAAGTCTGACGCACTCCACATGACTATTTCCATTTTCTGACGACATTTTAGATGTAAATATTTTACTTTTTACTGCACTACATTGGTTTCAAAGCTTCAGTAACTTTGCAGATCCAGATTATGAATAAAGAATATAAATGTTTTACATGTGTTTGTAGTTGTACTGTTTTACATGTTTGTTTTTTTGTGTTGTACCTGTTTTTTTATAATTATAGGTGTACTTTGTTTTATGCAATTTTGTTGTATTTCTACTTGTACTATGTTTTACGTATTTCTTGGCGGTATCTGTACTGTTTTTCAATAATTTCAATATAGTTGTACTGTGTTTAACTTTTTTCTTGTATTGTGTATGTTTTTTTGTATTTGTGTTGTATTTTACGTGTTTTATTTTCTTGTATTTATATTGTGTTGTATGCATTTTTTGTAGTCGTACTGTGTCATAGCTGTTTTTTGTACTTGTGCTGTGTGTTATGTGTTGTTATTATAGTTGTACTGTGTTTAACATGTTTTTTTCACTCTTTAACATGGTTTATGGGGGTATTTGTACTGTTTTTCTATGATTTTAGTGTATTTGTACGTGTTTTATGTATTTTTTTTGTATTTTATGTGTTTTGTTTTACTGTTGTACTGGGTATTTGTCCTGTTTTTCTACTATTTTATTGCATTCATACTGTGTTGTATGTGTTGATTGTGTATGTTTTCATACTGTTTTATAGGTTTTATTTTGTGGTATTTGTTTTATATGTTGTTGTTTTTTGACTGCATTTTTACTCTCGTTACTTGAAGTATATTTTGTACTGATACTTTCAGTGTTTTTACTTCAGTATAATGCAGAGCTGTCCATGGTGCAGTACTGATACTTTAACTGAAGTCAGTGGTCAGAGTGATTCTTCCACCGCTGCTAATATTAACAGTTATGTGTGTTTCATTGTGTTTTGTAGGGTTAAAATGTGTTTATGAGCATATCTGTATACACTGTGTGTGTGTGTGTGTTTGGGGGGGGTGGGGGGGGTTCATGTGGGGAGTAATTATAAGGTGCTTCTGTTGACTAATGAGCGTAGGGGGGGGTGAGTGCAGGAGGAGGACGGGGAAGTCGATCTTTATGCGGATGGCAGTCAGCTCTAATTTGTTATGATGGCTGCTGGCTTCCCAAAGCTGCAACGGCCGATAATTACACACACACACACACACACACACACACACACACACACACAGGTACACACTGATCAACACCAACGTCACGCTAAAGTTCACCCATTTGTTACTACTATCCCCTGTAGTCTACAAGACAACACACACACACACACACACACACACACACACACACTTCACTTCTGTCAATATCAACACGTCCCGCTGTGTGGAGCGCTGCCCCCTATCTGCAGCTGTGTGCACTGCACTGACAGAGTACTACATACCTGAGGTACTTCTACTGCACTGCAGGAATGTGACAGCTGCAGCTACTGTACATGTTCAGATTTTTACACATATAAAGAGATTATAAAATCTGATGATTTGTTATGAATTAAATTCAGTTTATTCAGTCCAGCTGAAACCATTGAGTCCATCAATCAATCAGTCCAATACTGAGAAAATTAATGTGAGATGTTTTTGATGGTTAAAGCAGGTCAGAGCGATACAGCTGATAAACAATAATGTTATAATAAAGCTGAAAAAACGGTGGTGGTTTTATTCTGAAGTGTCAGTGTTTTTGCTTATGGTCAACAGTTAGCTGTTAGCAGTTAGCAGTACAGTGTTACAGCAGCTGTCAAACACCTGAGCTGAAAACAAACTAACAGCTCCCCGGTCCACATATTATTAATATTTAGAAGTCCATGGTCACAAATGTGACAAATACTCTCAGTCTGTCACCCTGCAGATACAAAAACACCCGCCTCGCCTCCTCACACTATCACCCAGCAGACAGAGGTCTGGACAGGTGGAGAATTGACTGCTTTCCCTTCTAATAACGTCAATAACTGGTCTGTCGTTTCATACCTGCTGGCATCCGGTGCAGGTTTGAGGCGTCCCTGTGCGTTGGCCTCCCACACGCTGTTGGCGAGCTCGTTTCCAATGGCCGACATGACCTTGATGAGCTCCAGCGGCCACTCGTCCAGGTCCAGAGAGCGGACCCTGGACAGGTGCGTCCCCAGGTTCCTGTGGATGCCCGAGCACTCGATGCAGATCAGGGCCCCGAGGTTCAGACTCGCCCAGTCCGGGTCTGGATCAGCAGTGGGACGGAGGCGAACATATTGATATATATGAAAAACAACTTCTTCAGATAATTTATTTCATCATTTGTTAGCTTTGACAAACCAACTTTTACAGAAGTTTTTATTGGTGAACGCAGAGTCCAACATGTGGACATCAGACTAATACAGCTTTTGATAAAAGTATTATCCTGTTAGCAATCAAGCTAACAGGAGCAATATTATCCCTCTTTAGTTAGCATTAGCATCTCCTGGCTGACTAGCATGTTAGCGACTCTAGGACAAAATATTTTGCAAAAACATCCCAAATACAGACGTCCCAAATAACCAGACTATCATGTATTTAATTTTGGGTGACGTTTCCACCCAGAGGAGCAGATGACTCCATGATAAGTGAGCGACTGTAGAGACTGGTTTGATACTCACTCTGAGCTTCACAGTCGGCACAGCGACTGTTTCCTCGGATACTTCTGATGGACTGCAGAGCCATGGCCTCTGTCTGACTCGTCAGACGAGACTAAAGGAAAACAGACAGATTTATATATGAGTACAACCACACTAATATTCATGGTTGTCTTTCAGAGGTTAGTCTATGAACGAGGATTAGGACCATGTTAACGAAAATAAATCTTAGATTTTGAGAATTAATTTATAAATCTACAAAAATGAAGTCCTTGATGTATGAAAATACAGTTATAAATTACGTGATTAAAGTCATAATTCTACAAGAATAAGGTGGTAAATTACGAGAATAAAGAAGTGAATAACGAGAATAAAGTCGTAAATCTACCAGAATTAAGTTGTATTATAACAATAAAGTCAAAATGTTACAAGAATAAAGTCATAAATCTCCGAAAATTAAGCCACAAATCTATGAGAATAAAGTCGTAAATCTAAGAGAACAAAAACATAACATTACAAGAATAAAGTTGTAAATCTACAAGAATAAAGTCATAATGTTACAAGAAAAAAAGTAAATCTACGATAATAAAGTCATAAATCTACAAGAATTAAGTCGTAAATCTATGAGAAAAAAGTCATAGATCTATGAATATAAGGTCATAAATTATAAAGTATAAATAAACAAACAGAATTATGATATAATATTACAAGAATTCAGTCATGGATCTACGAGAATAATTCGTAAATCTATGAGAACAAAGTCAACACCAATAAATAAATTAATGAATAAACTTAAATTTAATTTAGATTTTTAGTATTTTCTGACATTTTATAGACTCAAACAATGAATCTTTTATTGAAGGAAATAATCTGTGGTTAGCTACGTCCCTAAATTGTCAGTTAAGTTAATGACATTACTGGAATGTAACAACCATAAACTCTATTTAAGTACAATTTTGGCACAGTTCAATTAATAGTTGAATATTTCCATATTTTGCTTCTCTGTACTTCGACTCAAATATTGCATTTTTTACTTCACTATATTTATCCAATAACTTTGGTGGTATTTCTATTTTACATTTTATGATACAGTTTAATAATACTAATCTACACAGCAGTATACAAAATATAAATAACTGGCTCCAAATTGACGAATGACAACACTGAAAATACTTTCACTGTAATAAAAACAAAATAATAAAACACTTTGAATGGAGTCATTCGGCATGATGAGTACTTTCACTTCTCACACTTGGATGTTTACCTTTAACAGAATATTTTTAAACTGTGGTATTTGTACTTTAAGTAAAGTAAACAATCCGAGTGCTTCTTCCACCGTTAATCACTAAACTTACAGATCAAAGTTTATTTCAGATTAAACGTGTAACTGAGAATTGAGCAAGTGAGAACAGACTTCTCTGCTGTTTCAGGCCGAACCCACTGATGTCGTGAAACGGAGGAATAACAGCAAACAAACGGAGTGGGGGAGGGAGGTACTGGGTGAGGTAGTGGGGGGGTGGCTGGTGTTTTTTGGGGGGCAATAAAAGGCTGAGAGCCTGAGGCGTAAACACAGCAGGTCTGGACTCAGAGCTGCATGTGTGCAGGTGGAAAATGGCAACGCTGAAGCTGAAAGCCGAGCTGCAGTAATTACCACTCTGTAATTATGTGAATGAAAGTGTGTGTTTGTGTGTGTGAGCAGGTAAGTGAGGACGGTGTGTGTGTGTGTGTGTGTGTGTGTGTGTGTGTGTGTGTGTGTGTGTGTGAAGTTAAAGGTCCTGTTTATTTGCTATGGCTGGGTGACATGGAGGAAATCAAATGACTGAGTGCGTAAAGATAAATAATAAAACAGCTACAACAGTCTGGTAAGACAACAAAAATATATGACACTTACCGAATCACCTGAGACGATGTTAATGTAACACTGATTTACTGCTTTATGTTTAACATTTATGATTTGATTTTTAATGCAAAATAAAACTAGAATTACCACGTTGCGGTTTTGTCAAGGTCACAGTGACCTTTGATCTTTGACCACCAAATCCTAATAAAATTTGAGGAAACTCCCTCAAGTTGTCCTTGAGATATTGCGTTTATGAGAATTAGACAAACAAAAGGTCACAGTTACCTTGCTCTTTGACCACCAACTTCAAAACACTCAATTCTTGAATCCAAGTGGACATTTGCGCCAAATTTAACGAAATTCCCTCAAGTGTCGTTGAAATATTGCATTCATGAGAATAAGTGAGGTTGAAAGGTAACAATGACCTTTGACCACCAAATTCTAATAAGTTCATTCAAAACTAAAAGTGGACATTCAGGCCAAATTTACAGAAATTCCTTCATAGTGTCCTTGGGATCTCGTTAACAGGAATAGGATGGACAAAAGGTCACAGTTACCTTGACCTTCAACCACCAAATTCTTATCAGTTCATCTGTGACTCAATGTGGACAGCAATGCCAAATTTGAGGAAACTCCCTCAAGTTGTTCTTGAGATATCACTTTCAAGAAAATGAGACAGATAAAAGGTCACAGTTACCTTGACTGTGTCTACCAAATTCTAATCAATTTGTCTGTGACTCAATGTGGATGTTTGTGCCACATTTACAAGACTTCCCTATAAGTGTTCCTGAGATATCACTTTTATGAGAATGAGACAGACAAAAAGTCACAGTTACCTTGACCTTAGATCCAATTAAATTGTAATCACCTTATCTGTGACTTAAAGTGGATGTTTGTTCCAAATTTGCAGAAATGTCCTCAAGGTGTTCATGAGATATCATGAGAAAGAGACTGATGCAAGGTAACAGCAACCTTTGACTACTAAATTTGAATTACTTTATTCTTGAATCCAAGTGGACGTTTGTGATCACAGTTACCTTGACCTTCGATCACCAAGTTCTACAAAATGTATCCGTAACTCAAAGTGGACGTTCATGCCAAATTTGAGGAAATTCCCTCAAGTTGTTCTTGAGATATCGCGTTCACAAGAATTGAAGTTGGACGAAAGGTCACAGTTACCTTGACCTATGACCACTGACTCTCACAACGAATGAGTTCCTGAGTAGTTCAAATGTATTAATAATAAACTGTTCTATTTTCAAACATATTCGGCCTCTTAAATTCCACGATCAATAACACCAACTCTACAAAGAATACTTCAGATGTTTCAGGAGCTGCACACCAGACTTCAGTGTAGAGCTTTTAGGAGGGCGGACTCTGCTCACCTTGTTCTTGCTGCTCTCGCAGGACTGCAGGCTGGCCAGGATCTGGCTCTCGATGACCTGAACCCAGGCGTCGCGCTCCTCGTACGAAGTGGCCTCGAAGTGCCACGTCTGGCCCGTCAGCGACACGATGGTGAACTCAAAGTTCTCCTCTTGTTCTGTTGGAGAGAAGAGATTCAGATTCAGTGGAAAAATGACACTCAACAACATTTAGCCATGTTTCACCTCAGCCGTTTGGTTCACGCTTTCATCCAGAGGCACAGTGTCTTGTTTGAAGACACTTCAGGAGGACAGTTCTGGTTTTGGGTGGCTGCTTCGACTAAATTTAAAACTGTCCAAATCTCAACCAGCCACATCACAAGTTTGACTCAAAGCCAAGACTAGAATATGTCATGAAAAACGTTATTCCAGCACCTTTCTGCAGCATTAATTTAAACACTTCAATATGATGTTCGGCCCCAAATTAATGTCATTAAATGTTACGTCACAATTTACTTTTCAGAGCTTCAAACCAATACGCAACAACGATGGAGGCTTTAAACAGCTGAAATAAAGAAAAAACTGGTACAAAGGACGGAGAGATTAAAAGTCAGCGTTCACCTTCAATCCTAAGTCTTAAAACTGGTTCATTGACCGTTTTGTCAGGGTTGCCTTCAAACAGTTGACCAAACGTTAGCTGACCAGAAAGGTCAGCAAGTCGGCAAGATTTCATGCGTCTGTACGTTCTGGTACGGAGCTTCATATCTGAAGGACTCAAGGACACCTGCTCTCCTCTTCTAACCCTCTAGGTGACCTCACCCTGAAGCCAGGATGTCACCCAAATTACGGGGCCCTGTGCCCCCTCCGCCAGTGAGGTCAGTCATTACAATCAGGGCCTGCTGGAGGGAGGACATATGGATCTGTTACCCAGAGCCCCCTCAGAGGTTAATGGGACAATCAGGAGTTAATTAGACGGCATTTGCCTGCATGTGTTTGTCTACCAAACTCTACTTCTTTAAAACAGCTGGAGAAGCTCTGAAGTATTGACACGTTAAAGGTACAGTTCACTCAAATTTTAGTGTCAAGCCAACGTGGGGAAAAGGTCCTTGAAGTGCTCAAGAAAGTGGAAAACTTTCAAGATGACTGTGATTTGGTGAAAGCTCAGAAAAGTAAGAGGACCTCTGAGTTGAGATGATTTTGCCACACGGGGTCCAGACTGAACTTTAAAGCTCAAGATTGGTCATATATCTGGGTAAACTTTGAAAAGACAGTGACAATCTAGCAGCGCAACCCAAGCGCTAGAATTAATGCTGACATGATATGAGATGTTTCACCTTTCTGTCTCTGATAATCACAACGAAAACGCCAGGCAGAAAAACCAATCGCCAGAAAAACTATTGGCATTGTACAGTTCTGCAAACTACCCATATGTTACAATGTGTACAGTGTTATGTAGCGGATACGTTGGAACTTCATGTTTTAACAATGCTGTGGTTAACATGTGGTTAGGTTTAGGAAAAAGAAAAACACCTGGTTATGGTCATGAAAAATTCCGCCGGCAGGAAAAGCAGCAATTTTTTGGATAAAAAAACGACAATAAAAAAAACAAAACAAAAAAAAACAACAGTTTTTTTTGTGCTCGACAGGAAACGCAGTGATGTTTATGTGAAAAACACATTTTTTTATGGCAGTATCCAATGGAAACAGAGCAATGTCTTCAAGCAAAAACAACCACCTTTCGTAGCTATCCTGGCAGAAAAAGTATCAATGTTTTGGTAAGAAACAACAGGTTTTTTTGTGCCACTATCCCTGCAGGAAAAGCAGCAATGTCTCAGCACAAAATCCCTCCAGGAAACATGGCGATGTTTCAGCATAAAACAAATGTTTTTAGTGCTACAATCCCGGCAGAAAATGCTGCATTTTAGGGCACAATGAAAAAGAAGTAATGTCTAGGTGAAAAAGAACCATCTCTCGTAACTATCCTGGCAGAAAACGTAGCAATGTTTTGGCAAGAGACAACAGTTTTTTTTTTGTGCCACAATCCTGACGGGAAACACAGCAATGGCTCCCTAAATCAAAACCACTTTCATTGTTTGTTGGACAGTGGTCTGCATCTTGGCAGGCATCTCGCCAAGGTGACACGCCATCCACCATTCCCTCCACCTCCCGAAGACAAAGTCACCTCATATACTGCGTCACTTTAAGAGGGTTGATATGATTCGTATTAAATGTACATACCAAAACATATTTTTCAGAAATATACAATGGCAACATTTTCCTCTGGACTCAGGGCTGAGCAGCAATGCTTCGTCACAAGTTTAAAAATGTTCACCTTAAATGCTTCATCAAGCTGGTTCTCAGTGTTTGTGCAGAACTCGGGCACATTTGGAAACCGTTACTGAACCGCAGAAAGGATGGGAAGTGGAGGTGAAGCAGGGGCATGTCTGAGAGCCGGTATCATCACCACACCAGATCAGACAACAACCAGCTTCTGTTTACAATTAGCCTCAATGAGGAGGTAAGACATGAGGCGAGGGGGGGTAATCACTTAATCAAAGGACGGCCTCCAGCACGGCTGATAATTCCCAGGATTCTTCAGGTTCAACAGAAGCATGTAAAGAGCTTAGATCTCTCAGAAATGTTGTTCCACGAATGTAAAATGACACAAAGCATCTTTCTCTTCTTCTACTCCACATATATACGTCCAAAGCAGTGCTGAGCGCCAAGATCTCAACATGGAGGTCGGTAATCACTCATGACACTTTTGGGCGAGCGTTTCTGGAAGCAGCAGTTTCATGACGTGCGCCGGGAGTGAAGCAGTGAAAAGATGAGAGGTTTAATCAGTCGGAGAGCGGTCACGGCTGGCCCGCGAGGGAACGACCATTTGCTCTTCCTCAACTCCAGTCATTTGGCTAATTGGGAGCGTCTCAGAGCACCGGAGCTGAAGTTCCCCTCTGGCTCCGCTCTGGATAATCAATGGCCTTGTCCGAGGAGAGGAAGGACGGGAGGTAAGGATGGAAGGAAGAGCCCCGGGGCCAAACGACCGGCTGAGAAACCCTTCCACTTCCAGGATAAAGAGATTGAAAACACCTTTGCTGACCAAAGTTTCCTTTGCTGAAGATCATTTTCATCTCTCGGCTGCTTCGGGCTGCTGATGGGCTGAGTCTGATTAGTTGATGTTAATTAAAACTACTGTTTACAGGGGCTGGTTAATGGCTCAAGGTTAAACCAGACTTTTATTTTAAAGTGACAGCTTTACATGAAAAATATGATGGGAAATATCTGTTCCATGACGATCAACAAACTTTTTTCTCACAAAGAAAACAACTCAAGACAAAATAAAAAATCATCTTTGAAATCTGACTAAACAAATTTGTTGATAACCTTTTTATCTAAGACGAAAATGCAGTGAAAAGTAAGGCTGGGTGATATGGACAAAAATTCATATTGCGGTATTTACAGGCTGACTGGGGATACACACAAATCTGCTTCACTATAACTCGCAGCATTCACAGACAAACACTTGTCTTTACCTGGACACATTCCCCCACAAATACAACATGATTTAGAAAATCTTCTTTTTATGCTAAACAACACAACAAAACTTCAACTTCAAAGTTCAGCAAGCCCGCAACACGACTTTAATTTGATCAGATCTGATCGGTGACTGACAAAAAAAAAAAACGGTCTAGAAATCAAAGTATGAAAGGACAGTCAGATTTTCACCTTCCTGCTTAAACACTGAAGGTAAGGTGCTCGCCACATGCCGAAAAATTAAAACACAGTGTATAAAAATGTGTCTGATGAAGGACAAACTGATCACAATGCAGAATGATAATTTTACAGAGTGTATTTGGAGGCTCCTGGGTCTTACACCGACAGCCCACCCATCAAGCGCCGGTTGAGCCCTGCAGGGTCAAGTGCAAGAATCCCATCATAATTAAATTCCCATGATTCTCTGTTTTCAGGGGGAGGCGGGTTTGGCTGCTTGACAATTATGGAAACCAACAATCCAGAAAGGCCCTGCCTCTTCTAAATTAAACGCTGTTTCTGGATTTAAATGCTGCATGCTGACCCGGCGCGCCGCGGCAGCTAATGAATAAAATGAGGGGGGCATTAGGCTGTGCAACTCGAGGACCACTCCCACAACACAGTTTTACTCTGAACGCCTCCCCCCTCCCCCCCCCAGCTGAGTCTGTGCTGCTCTCAGCATCTCCATCATCAAACTTAAAGACTACCTGGAGAATACAGCAGAGCATTCAGCAGATAAAGAGACAGATATTTCCCTCAAGAGATGGTCGAGACCAAAGATTAATCAAGTAGACACAAACACAAAAGCAACAAAGTCCCTTCATCACGCTGCCTCTGTTTTTTTTTTATACAAAAACAAACAACTGTCATAATGCTGCCTCAGTGTGTGATTTCAGACAGCATGCCGAACCAGGTCTCACTCTGAAGTCATCACAATCCAGCACGTGGTCAGTGACTTCTGGCGACAGACACTGATGAGAAAAGTTGCCTTTCATGTTGCTATGATACGCAGCCAGTCACCGTTATTGTTTAACAGCACCCGGCAGTATCAGGGCAAAATGCAGCGGGAAAACAATGCAAGTTAAGGCGGCGGAAGTCCAAGTAGGGTGGCAGGAGGGTGGTGGATGGGTGGAACAACACTCGCCTTTCACCAAGGAGGCTGCTGTTCACTTCCTGTAAGATTGTAAAGCCAAACCCTGTTCTTTTGTCCTAAACCAAACTACATGTGTGTTGGCTGAACGTAACCGCGTGTGTTTGTTGTTGAAGGGAAAAAAAACCATAAATTCCCAGTGTTGTACCAACGCAGCACTTTTATTTTGAAAGAGACTGTATGTCGATACGTCGATATGTGACGAGGTCGCAGTGAGGATGTGTTGCTAAAGTCAGAAGATCACCAAAGTCTACAGGATTCATCCTCTGGGGAACAGGAACATGAGGACTAAATTTCTTTTGAGAATTCATTCAGTAAATCTTGAGACAATCTTAATTCAAACTTTGACTTGCTGGTAGCGCTAAAAGAAAAGTCAGAGGGTAACCAGTTTCTTTAGGATACATCCTCTGGGGAACATGAACATCTGAGCTAAATTTCAAGATACTCCACCAAGTAGCTGTCATGATGTTTCACTTGAAACTTTAAAAGACAACCTTG